ACACTATTAAATACTTTTCTTATTGAACACTATGCAGCCTCCATAAAGTAAACTAATTAGACTCCGAGTGATGCCTAAATTTATATAATACAGTAATTTTCAAATGAGCACATTATATACTTTTCTCCTCAAATGTTTTAATGTTCTGCTTTTTTTTTTTAAAAAAAAATAAATTCTGTATTTTCTAAATGTATTTGCTTATGTCCCATGCTCGAAAGTGATACTTTTGTCCATCTAGTCTCATGTTTGTTGAGAAGAAAAACTAAAGAAAGGGAGATTTACATGGACCCTTTTTCAGTGCCCATGGGTATTCATCTGTGTTCCTGATCTAGCAAATCCAATTGTTAGTCCTCCAACTAGAATAGACCAATTGAAGCAATGGGATTTATATATGTTTTTACTTACCCACATATTTATTTAATGAGTCCACTGTAGCTGAGGCTAATAATTAGCTGAGAGGCTCAGACCCAGCAATACTTCAAAAGGTGAGATCCAGTATGAAGCTCAGCTCATTCCACTTCATCTTGTTTCATGCAAAATCCAAATCCAAACCCAAAAGGTTTTGGACTAAGGAACATTGTGCGCACCTTGTAATTGGTTGTTATTAGTGGAACAAGTCTTTTGCCCAAAAAGACCCTTTGGTAACTGTTGTTCAACACACACACAAACTAGGAGACAGTTCTGCAGGCTAAAAATCAATAGCTTGATTATCTACAATTGGCTAAAATTTTGCTACCTAGTTTCAGATGGGCATTCTTTTCCAAAGTGTTTACAAGACAGCATGACACTGATTCAGTGGTTCTATGGGCACATGGATGGTCATACTCTTCATCAAGGGACACTTGGGGTGAAATCCAGTAGTAACAAATAAAGCAGGCTGACTCAATCAATGAAACATACAGAGAAGTTGACTCACCAGATCTCCACTAATTTAATGTCCTTACTCCAGTAGTGACTTACTACTAGATTTCAACCTTTATCTGTACAGTACTCCAAAGCCATTCAACCTCTGCTCAGCTTATGTTGTTTTTGTCCTACATCATTTCTTTTCATATGAGTATGGAATGTAGGATTAGAAATTGATTATTATTGTCAGTGGGAATTGAGTTGGATACTTCTTGTACCAATTGGAACTAAAATAGATCAACAGTTCCCAGTCTGATTCCTCCTGCAAACCATTTACTTAATCCAAATCAGATAGTGATTTACATTACTTTGCTTTTGTTGACATGAGAAAGCTAGTAACCCATGTGTGAATTTAGAGATAATCTATGAGCTGCCATGACTGCAAATATGAACTGAGGAAAACACTTTTAAGATAGATATGATTTTTCATTTAAATGATAAATTTCTCTGCTTTTAGCTGTCAAGTGCCTACTTATAAGTTGAGTACATAAAACTTACATTGCCAGTATAAAGCATTCTGATTCCCTTGTTTTATATCTCTAATAAAATACAGTAAAAGCCATATTTTTCCATAGACATTTATAACACATTTGAAAAAAAAAACCCAGCATAGTATATTTGAAAAAGTTTCAAGTACAGTGCAGATTAGATCTGATAGACATCTTTCAAGCAATTAGAGCAGCTGCCTAAAAATTTTGGCAGTATAACTTAAGAGAAATACAATATATTCCTGCCGCAAAATTGTAGATGGAAAGGTGGAAAGTATTAATACAGTATTCTATCTCTGTAAAGGAATCAGCAAAGGCCTTATTAAATAGCATTCATATTTTCTTTTCAATCTAGTTTAAAACTATCTTGTAGCTGGTGTTTCTCTGAGGAGAATTAAAATCCACAATCGCACCAAATTAATGTACAGCGGTGCCTCGCTTAACGAGTGCACCGTATAGCGATGTTTCCGTATAGCGATCCCTTTTTCGGGATCGCTATACGGAAACATACCCGATCTTCGCAATGAGGAAAACCCGCATTGCGAAGATCGGGTATTGCGGGGGGCCGGTTTTGGCTGCCGCAGA